TTTTTTTTTTTTTTTACAAAAAAAGGCTTTGTCAGACAATAAGAACTATCTATCTAAAATTTTGATTTTTCTTCGTCGAGAAAATTACTTTTTGAACGAGGAAAGAAAAAGAAAGATTTTTTAGAAATGAAGTAATTCTTATGTAAGATGAATTCTAAAAGTACAATTTGTAAATTTTCAAAAAAAAAAATATAATCAAAGAAAAATTCTTACTTCTTCTTTTACTTTTTTTTTTAAATAAATTCAAATTTCTCGAGAAGAAGGGGAATAATTTTAAAATTTTAGAATTAAAGATCAACATTTAAAAATAAAAATATCTTTCTTACCTCTGATATTTCTAAATCGATTTGTGGGGAATTTGAACGAAAAAAAAAATGTGTTCTCTCCGGCAATTTAGTCGATCATCGTACCTACTTGTTTAACTATATTAATACACACTTACAAAGTTACATAAATATATACACATATACATACATCTACCAAAAACACGTGGCGAACTGGCTGTGATTATGTTAGTGTTACGAACTCAATAAAATATAATATCGTCGACACGATTAATAATAATGATGAACACGGATATATCTGTAAATACCGACTAATTGGATATAAATATAAATACGATTATATACGCTGTGATTTGATCACGGGCCATATTTAAATGGAGGGTTTGTCACCTCTCCAACTGTGTATCAAAACAATCGATTGCCTGCAATAAAGTCGAAATCATACCATGGTTTCTGTAATCCCATTGCCTTTTACCTTTAACAAACGCATATTCGAACCTCGACCAATTTCATGGTTAATTTCTTATCATTGAATAAATTGATATCGAAATTGATCTACCATTCATCTCGCAATTGAGCGATTAATCCTTCCATCTATGATTCTAAAATTTTTATATATTATCCAAGTTTCGATTTTGATGATAAAATTGTAACTTGGAAGTTTAAATTAACAGCAGATATGTCAAATAATTCGAAAATTATCTTAATGAAAATTTAAAAAAATTTTTAATCTACATATAACAACGACTCTAAGAAGAAAAGTTAAAGAAGAATCAACGAAAAGGTAAGATTTTTACATGTAAAAAATCACAGGAGAGAAAAAAATATGGTAAGGTAATTGTATTTTTTTAATTTTTATAAAGTATAAGATAAGAAAAATAATAAAAATCAATTATTATACATTTCATAATTCATTTTCCAAATTTTTAAACTATAAATAATTTTTATGATACACGAATCCTTATTCCACAAAGATTTCATAAACGAACTTTTATTCCGATTCATTTCTCTCCTAAAACACGAAAAAAAAGGAGTGACAAAAGAATAATAACCAGCATGAATTTCGTAAACGTTTATTACGACAATCGTACAATAAAACGTATAGTACAAGCCTCTGTGCGGCATTCAGCGCGAATTTACGGCCTTGCTAACGCGATACAGAAACGATTACGCTTACCCGTGATCCATTTCCGGCACGGTGTCCCCCTACAACTCTTAAAACGAGAAAGAAAAACGAGAAAAACGAAAGGGACGGAAAAAGAGGAAAAAGAAGATGTTTCGCCGAGGAATCGTTCTAATTCGATTACAATATTAACTTATTCTCCATTGATTACGTTAAGATTAATTACTGGCTACGCTTACGATCTAAATAATAGCAAATGTGATCATAGCACCACGTTGTAAGAATCACAATATTATAATTAATTATATTTACGCAGTATACGGGATCTGATTGATAAAAAAAAAAATAACATACAAGATTAAGTGAATCTATGAAGGACGCGATGCCACTGATAACATTATGAAATTGGAGATTGAAATAAATAAAATTATTTAGCAATTGTTCCGAGATACAAATTTTCCTATTCGAATTTTTATTTTATCGGAGGAATAGAGGATGAATTTATTTAAATCGACTTTAGAGTTTCGAATACATCAGTTAGTAAGATTGATATAACATCCTTTCAGAAATAATTATATCTATCACCTTAAAACACGTTAAATCCTATTAAAATTATGAAAACTTTAAATCGCTATAATTTTGAAGATAATGATTTTCGATCAATAACGAAAGATCGTTAGAAACGTGGAACCTTGTCCTTTAAAATGCTTTTTAATTTATCTCGATACGACTTTCGGTTCCCGAGATATCATCGTGTAAAGAAAAAGGTAATTTTCAATCTTCTGTTATCTCCATCTTTGTCTCTTACTCGGAACTCTCGTTCACGCCTCGTCTCACTGACCTATCCCAAACTCTAAACAAATAATCGATGCGATTCCTGGAAAAAATATAGGTCACTGTGCCACAAACACATTCGTAAGCTTTACACTGGCTTAAATACAAATATTATGGATACTTTGAGTTCTTATATCTCGGCAACCGATCGAGATATTTGGATGAATCAAAAAGCAAATTCAATGGCACGATTTCCTTTATTTTTTAAATGTGTTTCGATAATAAATTTTTAATTTCTTCTCATACTTTTTATATAAATATTTCATTAAATAAGTCACAGATCTTTGATGAAATGTAGATCTTCTCATTCTTGTAATATAAAATATATAGGGACGTAATTTAATTTTTTTATAATATAATATTTTCCATATGAAATATTTAAATACGTTTTATTTATTTTCGATAAAAATTTGTAATTCAAAAAAAAAATTGTAACGATGTTATTTTATGAAATATTACAAGATGAAGAATCCACAGAACCTCATGAACGGCTTAATAGCTTTATCGTGCGCCACTTAATCAAATGAACTAAATCGCGCGAATAAATCAAAACAAAACACCGGCCAATAGCAGGTTAATTCCTAAAGTAGAGGGACGGAGCTCGAGGTGGCAATTTCTGCCTTTATCCACTTATTTCTACGGAGCATGGAACTGCTATCCTTCACAATTACATCCTGATCGATCTTTGCAAATCTTGTGGATTTTTTCCAGACAACCAAAAGCTTAATAAGAATTAACGGTGAAAAAATGTCCCATCCTCTTTCATTCTTTGAAGGAATTTTTGCAATAAAATATAATTGAAAAATCATTTTTTCTGAATCCTCAATGATAATTGATAGAAATCGAGATATTAATTGAAATATTGATAAAGAAAAGTCTATAAGAGATTGAAGATTTTGTAATAATATTTAACTATATTTAACTAACTATATTGTTATAAGATAGTTAATTAATGCTGATGTATAATTGTTTGCGTGCACGAGACCAAATTTCCACGCAAATCCTAATTAAGAATATTTTACTTGGAAATATTATGATTGCATAGTTCTGAAATTATAACGATAGTGGAAGAGAAATTTAGAATCTCGGAACGTGCTTGAAATCTTGTCAACTGCTTAAGAATTTCCTTCATGGCATCACCCTCCAACAAGCTAATTCGCTGAACGAAATAGATTCGAGGAATTAACACATTCACTTTACTCAATCTAAATATAAAGCCTTCTTTTGTTTGATAAATATGGTCGTAAAAATTAATAAAAAAAAAAAATAATAATAAAGTAAAATGAAAAGCAAATAAATTGCAATACCATTAATCAAATTTAAATTTAAGATTGGAATTTAATT